TTGTCCCAGGGGATTCTCAGCAGTTTTGATTCGCCCTTTCTGGTACCCAGTTATTGTTTGGCGTAACTCTGACTTTCTTTATCTTAAGTCACAGTTTCAATCTCTAACTCCCGATTGTTTGAATGCCACTTGTGCAGCTCGAAAGTCGCCTCAACAAAAATTATTGTGGATGTCATCTGGAATTCTGACGCTTGGTTTGTTGTCTTACCACCACTGATTAGATCGTCTTCGTACTTAATGCGCTCTATCTCCTCTACTAGTTCCAGGCTCACCAATTTGTATCGCTGTAGATGTTGTTTGATAACTGCGTCTAAGAGGAGTGGAGACAGTGCTAAACCAAAGAGTACTCGAGTGAATCGCAAGGTTTCTACTTGCTTGCTTGCCAGATCTTTTAACCAATGAAAGCGTAAGGCTTCGGACGTGAATTTGCAAAAGTGCTTGTTTTAAATCGCCAGCTATTGTCACGGGATAAAACCTATTTCGTATAAACAAGTTATAAAGCTGGTTCTGTAGCGGAGGGCCGATTTCGCGACACTCATTAAGTGAGGGGACACTTGCATTTGCCCTTGCAGAAGTATCATAGACAATACGCATCTTTGTAGATTGTGCGTTCTCACGCACGACGGCTTTATGAGGAATGTAGAACTCTATTCCACCCCTGACCACATCGTCGGCGCGTTCCACGTTCCCTTGACTCAGTTGATTCTAGATGATGTCGTTGTACCTCTCAAGCTTGTCTTATTTCTCTAACTTCCACACAAGATTTGGAAACATTTTAAACTTCTGCTGTGATTGTTCGGTAAGGGAGGATGATTCCTTTTCCATGGCAGGCTCGTCTCGTATCGCCTTCTGGACTCTAGTTAGTTGCTCTTCGTGAACAGTTTCCTGGTTTACACTTGAATTATCTGAATTATCCTTTAGCCCCAAAACGTCTAACTTGTACAATTGTTTGTAATCGATTGCGTTGGTCTGCGCTATGAACATGTTGCTGAGATCCAACTCCGTACTGGGTGACAAGATTGTCCAGCCGAACTTCGTATATTCTGCCATTGGTTCTCCCGAGCGCCCACTCTTGGTCTCTTCCTTGTTTTTATCTAAGCATACTCGTTTGTTCCAAGGATCAGATGAACGAGGAAAATCGCCCTCTCGTCGTTATCATTCGAGGTTACGCCCTTCAAATGAGAAAACTGCGCTACTATTTCTGTGCATTTTGGGTTTCAACAACTCTTTGCGGTCAACCTTGTTTACTTCGGCTTCTAAGGTGAATTTGCCATCTACGATTCGAATTGTAGGCCTAGATGTCCATCGGTTTGTTTGAAGTACCATACATCGTTTCAATACGCTTGAATTGTTGACGGATCGGACGCAAATGGAAACATTCCAGAACCGTTGGTGAAGCGTGGGAACTTCTGGCTCCCGTATCCAACAATGCTCGACACTTAACACCATTCACGTCAAATGTGACCATGGGTTACACCAATCATTTTCTCTCTACGCTCGTTGCAGTCATCAGCTGGTCTCGCGATGTAGGTCTCTCGCATATCGACGTATGATGTCTTCGGCTACAGATCTGGCAGCCAGAACAACATTTGCTCTCAGCAGCGCGGTGTCGACTTCCTGAAAAATTAAAACACAGTTGTTTCAGACCTAGTTGTTACAATTGTAACAAAATTTTTACAATTCACAGCTCTCTGTTCAGTTGCGTTGTTATTTCGTTTGCAACGAAATGTTTTTTCGCGATCGCAGAATTTAATACCTGGCTTCCCTGCACTCGCAATAAGATTTATTTTCTTCCAACTTTTCAAAGCTTTTATCAATTGTGGAAAGTTCCAGTCCTTTCAGTCTATTTCTCCTCTTACAAGATCTGCTTTTACGCCCCTTAGTTTGTCAAACACACTCTTTGCATTTCCTGTCACGTCTTTCAATTTGCCAAGTGTCTCCAAACATTGCACATTGTACACGAGCTTCGAGGATAAGCTCAGGTTGTGTTCCTGTTATGACAGGCAACTTCGCGATGTTCTGGACTTACGCATTCACGATCTCACTAGTTTTCTCATGTTCGCCGAAGAGGATATTCTTTGCCCCCTCATGGCGCTCTGTTGTGAAAGGCAGTCCGTCTATCTCCGTTCGAACCTTTGGATCTACCAGCTTTTTTAGATATGCAAACTTGGTAATAGATGCTAGGTTTGCTTTATCAATTTCAGCTTGAAATTTGTTCGAGAACGGCAGCCATGCTTCATACGTCCCATCAAACTTTGTGCTCTGTAGTTTTGGTAGCTTTGTTGTCCTTTGTTCACTCTGATTAGCCTTCTCAACTGGTTGTTGTTGTTCCTTGTCCTTTTCCAGTTGGCGTTCGAATTTTAGCTTCATCTCTATTTGTTCTCTTTCGAATTTAAGCTCCTCTTTACGAGCACGGGCTTTCTTCTCTTCTTCGTCCTTTTGCTTTCGACGTTCGATTTCTTCGTTCTTCTCCACGAGCCATTTCTTCAGTCGCGAAATTTCTTCGTCAGCTTCGGCGATCGATTCTTTAATGCTACTGCTCCAATTTCCAACGTTTCTGCGCTTTTTCGGCCCCGAACATGGTTCGCTCAACCCTTAGTTTAAGCGCGTCTGCTACTTTTACCAAGGCTTGTCGGTTGTCGCTATCTCGCTCAACTGTTTCTAGGTTTCCCCTTTCCACAATGCCGCGTGTTTTTTTCATAAGTGTACAATAGCATCTGCAAAATTCTTTGGTCAGCATCATGCTTCGCGAGTCCCGTCGGAAGTGCCACTGTGATGCAAATAAGACTAAAAGGTCTGCTATGTTCCGAAACTTCACGTTTTATTTTATAAAATTAACTTGATCTCCCTTTCTCTCACAATGTTCAAGTCTCACGCTCTGGTCTTTCTCATTTTAAATATATGTGATCCTACTGTTAAATCATCTGTCACCTTGTCGCAAAAAAATCAATCGGAAATCAATTAGCGTTGAGTAATCTCTGACAAAGATTGAAATGCGAGACGTGATAATTAGATTGATAGGTTTGAGGAGAGAGTGTTCGAAATTTGTGAAGTGGTGAACGTTGATGATAAACAATAAGACAGGGATTTGATGATTGAGAGTAGAGTGTACCCCGCAGGTTCGGTACATTTTTTCTTTAGACGGATGACGCCTCGCCCACTGATAGGGGAGCGCACGGACAGGAGAAAGGCATTTGTATTCGAAAGGAAAGAGGGAGAACGTGCGTGAGCCTAGAGCTCCTTCGTGCCTTAACTGTGGAGATTATTACTGGGGAAATCCTGCGATGTTAAATTGTGTTACAACTGTGGACGAGAGGGTCATGAGGCAAACCACTGCAGGAGTCGCCCATGTTTCAACTGCAAGTCGAGACACCACACAAGCCTATGGGACAAACCATCAGTAAACGGACCGAGGGACAACATGAAGTTCACCGCATACACCCTGGCTCTGAAGATAGATCCTTACCGGCCATCATTCCGCTAGAGGTTCAAGGCGTTACATTGTGGGCATATTTGGACACGGGATCTGGTAGGAATTTTATATCCAAAGAAGCAATTAAAAAGTTAAATCTGAAACCCTCACGCCATGAAACGCGCCGAATCGTTACCATAAACGGCGTGCAAAGACACTCCGTGCCCATATTCAATGTGAGAATTCATTCCCTGGACGACACAACAACCGAGCCGATAGAAATCTCTAGAAGTGAGTATACGACTTTTACAACCGCGAAAAAGCCGACTATTGGGAAGTTAAAATCAAAGTACGAACACGCCTGAGACAAGCTGTTCTATAAGACGAGGAATAAAGAGTACCCAATACACGTGAAACTGGGTGATCACTCTACTGGAAGATACGAACCGAGCAAACGTTGAAGGGACGCCCTGAGGATCTCACCGTGGATGGTACGACTTTTGGTTGGGTAATACATGGAGGAGAAGATTACGCCGATAACAAGTTTATGTGTATCAAGGAGGCAAACGAATACGAGTAGCTATACAGTCTAGACGTAATGAGAGTGGAAGACAGAGCAGAGCATGACCAGTCAGAAGTGCTCAGCAGTTTAACGAGAACATCACAAGGGAAGCGAACGGCAGGTACGAAGTGAGCGTGCCATGGATCCAAGGAGGTTCCTTAGCAAGTACAAACGAAGAACAGTGCAGATGACGTTTTTGTAGAGTTGAAAGGAAGCTAAGCCAAGATCCCAATTTGAAGAAAGAGTACGAAAAAATAGTAAAAGACCAGCTAGAGGAAGGAGTAGTGGAGGCTACGTCCGCAATACCCGCAGCAGAACGCACGTTTTATTTGCCACATAAACCAGTGGTTAGGGAGACTGCGAGCACAGCAAAAGTGAAAATGGTTTTCGATGCTAGTGCCAAGCCACACCCTCTGGGAAACAGTATCAACAGGTGTATGTACACGGGTCCACCACTGCAGCCCTTACCGCGGGACATTTTAATCAGAGCACGCATGTCCACACACATCTTAATGGCAAATATTCAGAAGCATTCCGACAGATTGGCGTCAGAGCGAAAGATAGAGGTTCCTTCCTACTCTTGTTCAACACAAACGGTAGAGAGAAACACTTGAGATTCACCGGAGTACCCTTTGGAGGAAAGTCAAGCCCATTCTTGTTTGGGGCTACCCTCAACTATCACTACGATCAACAAGATGAAGAATGTCAAGAAACCATTCAAGCCCTAACAGAAATCACGTATGTAGACAATTTGATGAAAACAGGGGAAGAAGTAGAGGAGCTTTAAGAATTCAAGAGGGAAGCAAATGGCATTCTGGAGAGTGGGAAGTTTCCCGTCCACAAGGGGTAAGCAGACATTGAGCGCCTAAAGAGCGAAGACTCGACATACCCAAGTTAGATCCTTGGGACGGTCCGGGACAAGAGAGGAGACATACTAGAGGTGCAATTACCAGAGCCCCGTGTCAGCCATCGACAAAGAGAGTACTAATCAGCCACCTAGCAGGTATTTACGACCCACTGGGGATAATGTCACCGACAACTGTGAAAGGAGAGCAGATCTACCGAGATGCATGCGACGAGATGAAGGGTTGGAACGCGGAAGTTTCAGAGAAGCTAAAGAGGGAGTGGATCAAATGGTCTACGCAATTGAAGCCTGTGAGAGTTCCAAAAAGCATAGCAAGAGGAGCTGGTCGAGTGCAAGCCGTACATCTTCATTTATTCGCTGACGCCAGTAACGTTGCAACCATAACCGTAATCGAAAGCACGGCAGGAGTAGTTCAAGGTTTACTCACCTCAAAATCTAGAATCTTAAAACGAGCCACATCTACTGCGAGACTATAACTAATGAGCGGTCAGATGGCGGCAAACATGGTCCGAAATCTACATGACGCCCTGGAGCGATTGCTTATTGGTTCCATAACTGTATGGATGGACGGTATGGACGCCCTGTACTGGATCACCAATCCGGGAAAACCTTGGAAAGTTTTCGTAGGAAACCAAGAGAAGAAGATGGCAAAAATCCCCAGCGAGATAGGAGTCAGCTGGAAGTACTGCCAACAGAGAAGAATTTGGCTAATTTGGCAGGTCCAAAATGTGGCCTCTAGATGAGAAGCAGCGGCCGGTGCAGCTAGATCTTCAATGCACTAAAGACGTCAACGATGAACAAAAACCTACCAAGATAGAAAGTACCTACGCTAAGGATCATAAACCCGATGAGTGGGAAACAATTCTAGAAGGAAACAGGTATGGGAATACTCTGCAAGTAACGGCGTGGGCACTGAAGTTCGGGAACAATTCCCTAGCATAAAGACGAGCAACTGGGAAGACAACAGGCCCCTTTACAACGGAGGAGATTGTGGGCGCAAGGAATCGTTAGGTCAGAAAGGTCCAAAGTAGTACGCCGCCAAACTTGTAAGCACCTGGCTGGGAGTTATTCGAGGACCACGCAAACATATAAGGTGTAAGGAAAGAATACCTGGTTATAATCCAATATACTTTGAGGGAGGCCTATTTGGCTAGAAGCTAATTTCTCATACGCATGAACAGATACTGCATCTGGGAGTGGCAAACACAATGACAACCTTACAAAATCACTGGTGGATTTCAAGGCTGAGGTCCAAAGTCAAGAAGTTTATCAATCGTTGCAACATTTGACAGGTGTTCAGCACAAAGCCCTACGGATCCGCATTTACAGCAGAAATGCAGAGTTTTAGTTCGGAAGGTGGGTAACCATTTGAGACAACTGGAGTGAATTTCTCGTGTCCACTCGACTACAAGATCGCATAGAAAGAGCGAGGAAATTGACACGTGCTAATATTTATCCGTGCCACTTCGAGAGTTGTACATTTGGAGGTAACCAGACCATAGACGGCGAAGGACACGAACACGAGAAGGACACGACCGCGTCTTATCATTTCAAATAACGCATCGTTATTTAAAGCCAGTGCAAGCTGGATAAAGAAAATACGCAAGAGCGAGAGGCTGCAAGATCATCTTGCAAGAGAAAACATCAGATGGCAGTTCAACCTCTCTAGATCCCTATGGTGGGGAGGGTGAACGAACGTTGATGATAAACGATAAAACAAGGATTGACGACTAAGAGAAGAGTGTAACCCACAAGTTCGGTAAACTTTTTCTCTGAATTTATTTTTGTTTTCGATCTCTAGCTTCAGAGTTATCATTTATTTCCTTTCGCCGAGAAACCACCGGATACGATTTCACGTGAATTGACGTTAACTGTTAGGTGTGTCATGCTTGATCTAAGTGAAAAGTGACGATCCGTTCCCGGCGTAATTTTGTTCTTGGGCTGAATGATTCAATGTCAACATTTTAACCTAATTTTTTCTCTCTTGTGTGCGAAGTGTGCAAATCAGGTGAGATCTGTAGAGTTCCGTATTTCAGGTCGACTGTGTCTCGCAAAAATACCTATCCTGGGACCAATTGAGCACTGAAAGAAACGAAAAAATTAATAAATAACTGAAGGAAGAAGATGATTTCTTACACACATAAACCGCGTCTCTGATGCTTCACACTCTTTTCTGTATTATACTTATGTTATGAGTGACAGTGAATCTTTATCACTCTCTTTTCCTCCCTTCTAATAGCCTCTGACTCCATTTAGCCAACTGCTTTTAGAACGAGATTTTTTCCATTCCCCTTACCCTCCTCTCTCCTATACAACTGACATGAATCGTGGTAGGTAAGTGAGTGGTTAAAAATAAGTACGGCAAAACCGTAAGAGGATCAGCAAAGGTATAGTGACCAATGACATATCCGAAGTGGGTATTAACATTACTATGGTTTTCACAGGATGTAACTGATAATGGCCACTGCTTTCACGTACACCCCAGAGGAACTTAATTACTTCAGGATTTGTTACGTTGTCACTGACATAATAACTGACGGTCTGCGAATCATCTTCAAACAAGAATGGGACAAACGACACAAGACAAAATTCGGAGAATGGAAAGATGAATATCAAAATGGATGCGACTTCTGGGATGGCGAGACAGATGAAAACAGAGAAAGAAACGATCAGATGTTGAAAACCATGAAGAAAGGCAACACAGCTCAATGGGATTGTTCCATGCTGTTTTACGCTATCCTGCATTCAGATTGCATTGGTAAGTGGCACGATCCTCGTCTCGAATTATCGATTAAATCAAACGTGTGCAAACTAAGGAATGTTCGAAATTACGTATTTGCACATGTAAAAGGAAGCAAACTCTCCGACAAACGTTTCCATGAAGCTCTTACGAAGGCTGAAACTGCATTCCACGACCTCGATCTCCCCACATGCAAAATCAGTGAAGTTCAAAATCAGAAAAACTTCCCTACAAAGGAGTTAAACGAAGTTGCAATGAAGTTTGAAAAATTGAAACAAAAATACGAGGAAAAGGAAAAGGAACTTCAACAAAAAGAAGAACAGAGGCTTGCCCTAGAAGAGCAATTACATTCCGATGTCTCTCCATTTTGCATTCTCCCTGCCAAACCTAGCCACGACATCGCTCCTCGGGAATTTGGAGTCGGTGAAGTTTTAAAAAACCTCAAAACACTAAAAGGCGCCAACGATGGGTTGAGCACACTGTATTTGTCAGGAAATCCAGGAAGTGGAAAATCTCAGCTGGCCCGTTTAGCAGCCAAGCGATTTTACGACGAAGTCAAAGAAGTACCTTCCGCAGCTTCATTTGTCATGACGTTGAATGCTGAAAACTCAGAAGCACTTTT